GTGATGATGCTTATGATGATTATGATGATGATGGATGTGAATGTTGATGTGAATGATGCTGGTGATGATTAAGCAATTGATGCACGATGATGATATTGATGGCGGTGCGATGATTGTAATGATGATGATGATGAGTAATGATTAAAAAGTATTAATAAATCGTACTAGTTCTTAATCGTTCATACTTTGCTATCTTCCCAGGTACCTCCGTCAACGATGCCAAAGCAGCTTTACAAACTATCGGTGCGACTGGCAACCCTCACCCAGGATTCCACGCCTCCTGGGCATTCGTCGGCTACACTGGTCCAGAGAAGGTGAAATGGGCCAAAACAGTGACACAGCCTCGATACAAGGGACCATCTATCATAAATGAAATGATTACAACACCCTCCGCTGAACTGGAAATCAGTAAGAAATGAAAAAATATTCTTATTAAAATATAACGTTTTTTAAAGCCCTCATACTCGGCCAATAAAGCTAGAGCCTGAATATGGATCTTGATGGGACTTGAGGCTGGTTCAAGGTTTATGAGACAGTCACAGCTTCCAGACGATTAGGTTTTGGCTTCCGTTATTCAAACGATTTACGAACTCGAAACACTGTTATGAATATGATGGACTGACTGTTTAAATAATGTATTCCAATGAATGCGTGAAGTCATTTTAGTCCATCATTATTCGAATCGATATAGTTTGGCTTGTCATAATAATATTAGGGGGGTGGGGTGGGGGTATTTAACATACCTCAGAGTGGCTCTTTTTCCACTGAACTCAAATTTGAATTTGAAAGTTGATTTTTGCAAATGGATGAAAACCGGAGAACTCGGAGAAAACTCGGAAAAAACCAACAAGCTAGAGAGTCCGGGAATCAAACCCCACCCGCTACCGTGTTGCCCGTGCTGCTCGTTGTTATCCATTAGATCTTCAACTTTCTTTCGCATCTTACATGAGGCTCTTTGATCGAAGAGCATTTGTTTCTACGTTTTGTCGTTGTCCATTCTTCACGCGTGAATGGGATACTAATGGCGTCACGCATTTGTTATCGTAGGTCAGTTAGAATCAGAGCAGACGTTCTCTGATTACGAACCAGTGTCTGACTATGAAGGAGCCGGTGCTTACTCAGAATACGAAGAAACCGAGGACGACACAACAAAGAGCTTATCGAAGAAGAGTACACGAGTGAGTAGCTGCACGTGATTTGCTGCTGCTGCTGCTGCTGATGAAACTGGTGCACTATTAGAATGATTATGATAATGTTGAGGTGATGATGATGATTTTTGAAGGCCGTGGTTTTTCTGCTGCTGCTGCAGGTGATGATAGTAATGCACGGTGATGTTGATGATAGTAAACACGATGAAGATAATATTTTTGTTGATGTTGATGCAGCTGCTGTTGAAGATGGTGGTCGTGGTGAAGTTGATTGATGTTGAGGTGATGATGATTTTTGAAGGCCATGGTTTTGCTGCTGCTGCAGATAATGATATTTTTTTGATGTTGCCGTACTGATGATGATAATGACAGCGATGAAGAATTATAATGATGTGATAATGGTGTTAGCTGTGAGGGTGATGATGGTAACGATGATGATAATGCTGCCACCCGATAAAGGTTGTGAACAACATGACAGAAATCGTTTTTCTTTCGTTTTCTTACAGTCTTTGTTCAGAGCCTTACCTGAAGCCGAGAAAATCAAAATCGCTGAGTTAGCCGAGGGATTGAATGAACAAAAATTTGCCCTCGAACGAGAACTGACCAAATGGGACGAGGCTGGGAATGAAATCATTGTTCTTGCTAAGAAGATGTGCATGATGATGATGGAGATGTCTGACTTCACAAGGTAAGGGTCAGAGTAGAAATCGCTAAAGATACTATGTATAACTGAGTTTTTTAAGAAGAAGAAAATGCGCGCACTTGCGTTCGTGCTGTGTGTAGTTATAAAAGCTTGCGGGATTGACTAAAGATACTATGTATAACTTTCAGTTTTTACAGAAGGAAAAAAATGCGCGCACCTGCGTTCGTGCTGTTTGTAGTTATAAAGCATGCGGGATTGACAGAACACGGAAGAAGTGTTGGGAGAAACGTGACGCATGTTGTGATGATGAATATAATACACTTGTTTCATCCTCAGAGGAACCGGTCCACTGAAAACAACCATGGACGTCATTGAAGCAGCCAAGGTACGATGGAATAAATAACACAGTCCAGATAACTCGTAACAAACAGATGCTTATATCGCTATCATTTGTTCTCTTCACTCGTCTCTAACTATACATGTTGTATTTTTATCTCTAGAGAATCGCTAAGAGTGGAAACAAGATGACAAAGCTTGGAACAGCGATTGCTGAGCGAGTAAGTCACTTCTCCCTTTTTTCTACCAACCTCATAAATGTTGTCTAAAAAAACTCTTGGATCATGTAAGGGAGGAAAGACGAGGGGGAAAAAGATGATGAAGATGGTTTTTGTTCCTTCTTTTGATCGGTAGTGTAAAGAGGCGATTACACGGAGCAATTTTCTCTGCAACTTGTCTCGCAACAGTGTTGCGAACCAAGTTGCAAGAGTGTTTACACGGTGCAACAGAGACGCAATCGTTGCCAAAAGTAGAAAACGAATTCTACTTTTTGTAGCAATTGCTGCAACTTGTCTCGCAACATTTTTTCAAATTGTGCTGTACGTTACACGCTGCATGCAACTTGTGTCGTAATCGCGCCTTAATTGAAGTTCTCTTCACAACTCCCAACGAAACAGTGTAGCGAGCGTGACAAGTCGTACAATATTAAATAATATTATATGATTGCCCGTATTGCTCGGCCTTCTGAACTTGGTTTTGCGCACCCAGAAAAGTCCAGTAAACGTCAGCCACAGAGAAGTTCCCATTCATGAATGATTCCTTGTGAAATGACCATCGAACAATCTCTTTGTTTCAGTGTCCGGATTCAAGCTCTAAAAACGACTTGATGGCGTACATTCAGCGTATCGCCTTGTTTTCTCATCAACTGACCATCACTAGTCGTGTCAAGGCCGATGTACAGATGATCAGTGGTGAACTTGTCGTCTCTGGAGTAAGTACAATACGTTTTGTCATTAGTTATTGCGCGCAGTGTCCCGGCAGTCGAAGGTTGGCACAGAAGACTGCATGTGAAAAATTCCGCATTTCAACTGTCCCCAGGTCGTGGTTCCCATTTCCCATTTATCCATTCATTCCATTTGTTTCTTTATTGACCTTCCGCCGAGGGTTATTACAAAGACGCAGTGTTTTTTCAGTATTCTTCTCCTGTTTATATTTTCCAATGTTTTGTCTTGACAGCTTGACAGTGCTACATCGCTGATCACAGCCGCCAAGAACCTCATGAACGCTGTCATCCTTACCGTAAAGGCTTCGTATGTAGCATCTACCAAGGTAAGTATTGCAAGCTGCAAGGCAGGATCCCTAATTAGATTCCCTAGTAACACCAGATTACACATGCATGTACTTTTCGACGTCAAGGAAAGCCAACTATTTTCCAATTCTAAATCTCAGTCATCTTAGTTTCCAATAGACTGTTTTCTCAAGGTTGCGTGCGCATCCAACTTGACGGGCCGAAAAAACTAAAAAACGCAAATTCAGTAAAATTGAGAAGAAAGTTTTATATTTGTAATGAAAAGAATAATCGATTTTATGAATTCTTATCGAAAAAATTTCATAGCAATGCATGATAATACTCGTGTTCTGGTATCGTGGCCCGTCAAGTTCCTTAAATTTAGATGCGCACCCAACCTTTAGAAAACGGTCTAAAGACAGTTCTCTTAACGGTGATTTGGCTATAATGACCTTGCAAGAATTAAGCCATTCTCCAGGTTCTCTGGTTTTCCTCCCTCCGCAAAACCTGATAAAAAAACTCGTACCCTAATCAGACCAGAGTTTGTTTCAGAGTATCAACAAAATTTCAAGGTTTATGAACTAACTTATTTTTTTGCTGTTTTCCTTACAGCACAAGTCTGGAAGCGTCAAGGTCAGTACTACTTGACAACTACAACAAAATCATTCCCAATACCCCAAAACTAATATTTCCATAATATAATTATTGTTTTAAACCCACATAATTCAAAAAATATTTTTTCATTTTTAGGCACCTGTCGTCCAATGGCACATGCGCGCACCCGAAAAGAAACCGCTAGTCAATCTCGAAGCCGAAGACAGCAGAATAACGAGCCTCCAACGATCACAACAAATCAGGCAGGAATCACCCATCCAAGCACTGAGTGAATTCGACACCTCTCAACAGAAGAGAACTCGTGATTTTTACTAGATTGGATTTTGCTGCTCCATGAATACTAACTTTTTTGTAATATAGATTAGCGGGTAAAAATGTGTGGCTAAAATCACTAAAATAATAATAATTTAAACCTAAAAAATTCACGAAATATTTTTTGTACTTGGTAAGAATGAAATTAGTTTAAGAAAAACGAGGTAAATTGTAGATAGTAGTTAGTAACTTTAAAAAACGTTTTTAACGACTTCGCGGTATGGTTAAGATGTGCGAGTGAAGTTGTTTCTTGCTCAGATGGTGCTATTTGTTTTCTACAGCATTAAAAATCGAAATAAAGCATAGTAAAAAAAATGTGGCTTTTGGTAAGTATCAGTATACTTTATGGTTAGATTACAGCGTCTTAGGGAACGATACAAGATACGTTTTTTTTGACAGGAAAGATTTCACTGGGTATGGCCACCTCTTGTGTGGCATGCGAGGTTAGAGAAAGAAGGAACAAGTTACATCAATGCACGCAGTCTTGTACCTACATTGTGTTATGGCTACAGGTGCCTAATAGCCCTTATACCAGTATCCACTACCCACTACACATCATATACTGCCCACTCGACCACGCCCATTAATGCCCCACCCTGCTCAGACAAGATGCTCATTGAGGAAACTCTCCAAACACAAATCAGAGAAAGACTTTTTTGGCAGTTCATTATTAACAACATTGTAAACTGAAATCACGGAAAATTTTGCACTTCAAGAAACTGTTCAGCTTTCAATTAATGGTGTTCCTATTAAGATAACGATGGCACCAGAATCTCATACTCATATTATTGGGAAGCATCTTGATCAAAGTCCTCCAAGCAAAAACATAATTTCACAGCACAAAAAATAAAGTATGACAAAATTGTGTACAACATTTATCACAGAAACCAAACAACAGCTACTTTCATATGTCGCATGGATGGGATACTCTTGGCTTTGATAACACTAAGATTGCAAAAAAAAGTAGCAAAAAGAGAATATCCTAGCAGCTTCCAAGCAACAATTTGCATGGGTTATGTTCGGTGACTAACGATTTGCGATTTCAGCTTCAAATGACACTCTTAGTATCTGTAATTCTCTGTTTAGCTCTGATAGGTTTTTATCGAATTCAAATCATGGAATCACAATTCCGCTTCACTACAGCAACTGGAAGCCTTGAACGCCTGGTGCTGAAGGAAGCGGTCTGCCATTAGTACTGTGTGCTAGGTACATTTTAGTAAAACCTTTTCCGAGCATCAACTTGTTGTTTTTGGTAAAAGTAAAACCCGACACCACAGAGAATGCAAACGATGACAGCAAACCAGAAAAGCCAAGTGAAAATCTTGCTGGTACGTGTGGAGAAGCTTCCTTTTGGATCATCTATGTGGTCTGCAAGAAAATAATGAAAATTAGAGGGAAAGAAAAATGGGAAAAAACTAAATGGGAAACAAAAATCATGGATAAATATTCTTATTCTTAAACAATATTTGCAACAAGGAAATTGGCCAAAACAGTGTCATTAATCAGTAAAATTACTACAAGAAAGGAAAGCCTACCTCTGTATTTTTCAGCTCCATCAGCAAAGGGTACAATCTGGGTTAAGTCTACTTCATCACCGGCTTTCTTTTCATCTCCTTCAGGTACTTCAACTTCAAACAACTTCATAGATTTTATGTCATGGTTATCTAAAAGATTATTAAGAATGAAATGTTTCTCAATATTGAATTCAAGCAATAGGACACTCTGGATTATTGTACAGTATGGGCAGTGTTTGCCCATATTCTTGGGTTGGTAATGAGATTCATTCAGCTGATCAAACCATGATAGCGCATGACGGGCAGTCTTTGCCTGTCATCGTAGGCTGGTAATTGGATTCTTTTTTTATACCAAGCATTAGGAAGAAAGGTATTTGAAGGTTGATCTAAATAAGGCTTGCGCTGTTGAAAAATTGCTATCATAAAATACAACACCTGCAAGTTCTCCTGTGGCTGCAGACACCCCAAAGTACAGTCCTGTGGGTAGCTTGACTCCTCTCACATCAAAACACTCCCTCCACTCTCCTCTGCCATCTACATCGGTTAATACCTTTAGAGAAGAGTAAAAACAATTATTAAGGAACGCTAACATCATTAGACTTTGGATAACATCTGGTCTAACTGTAAAGTTACTTACAGTAAGTCGCTCCTTTGCACCTAGGTAGCGGACAATGGCAAATGTTTCATGTTCTTGACCTCTAAACTGAGCCTGAAAAACAAAAGTTAAATTTTATATATTCCTGAATCAACCTCTGGGATGATCTAAGTAGTGGTATCCAGACTAACTCATACTGGAACCTGAATCAATCACTGAGCTGATCTAGGTCAGGGTATTGCTAACTCACAAACTGAATTGGGTTTTAGCATTTTGGGTACGTGTGTGAAGCCAGGATGTGAAGGGATGAAAACTGTTTGGGAGAAGCCAGACAATAGTCCTTTAATCAAGGCCGAGACCTTACAAGCACTATTCACATGCGATGCCAAGTTTAGAAATCAAATCAAGGCTGTCAGAGGTGAAAGGCAAGTGTACTATCACTGCGTACTTCACCCTTGATTCCTAATCACCACGATTTGTATGATTTCCAAGTAGTAATTAAACTATTAAGTGATGGAAAATACAGATAGTTGACTGATATGGACAAAATCAAACCAACTTACAGAGCATCCTTCTACTTGGTTGTGAGTTCCATCTCTGTCGTGATCATATGCATTGGATCCATTACCGATCATTGCTGAGATGTAAGGATGTTCATGCTATAACAGAAAAGAAAGAAAATGATGGGAATAGATCTAAGAAAATTCCAGTATTGCAGTTATGGTCGTGACAAACTAGTGTAATAGGAGTAATGACTTTAAGTGGAGCAAAAAAAGGTATGTTTAAATTTTTTTCAGAAACAAATCCTTCAAAATGTGGGGTCAGGAGCAAAAGTAGAGGGGAGGGGTGGCTGGGGCTGCTTTAAACCCACTTTTCAGTCTCCAGGCCCTAAATCAAAATTGAAATATCTTTATACTTAATATATATGTTAGGGATTATAAAATGGGGGTGTAAGGGTGCAGGGGCTTATTTTTGATACAACTCCCTTTACTACCCCCCCCCCCCTTTAAAATAAGTAATCACTTACACTATGCTCTCCATTATGATTATTATATGTATCGAAAAACACTCCTAGACCATAAAAATTGCTCTGACTGCCAAAGGCTGGTCCTGAAAAATCCAAGGGAAAAAGAAATTATAAAACCCTTCACTGTCATCATTTTTAATTGAACAGCTGAAATTTGGGATTTAGCATGTTGGGGTTTGTGGTAAAAGGAATAACCAGGGCCTGGATGTATGAAGGGTGAATAGTGCTATCCGACAGATAAATCTTATCCAGTAAAAAAAATTTACTGGATAACTCCATCTACTTATCTACTGATTAAGGATATTTCCGTTGGATAGTGCTATCCACCCTTTGTACAACCAGGTCCTGAGAACCTGGAGAAAATCCCAGCTTGAATCAAGGGAGAGACTTGCATGGTCACATGTCATGACAAATCGCATGAGCTAAATCACAAGACTGATTAGGACTTCCAACTTGCCTTCTCTTAATCTATCTCTTGCATACCAAAAGGCAAAGCCATCACCAAACATTGTGGTGCCTTGACCGTGAACAGAAAAGTGTATCAACATCTCCCAGTTGTGTAAATAACAAGGCTGAAAAAACAAGACACCCAATCAAAAAACATGAGGCTTATTTTTCATATCCAAAAGAAAAGTGTTAAGATTTGATTTCTTTTGAATTAAATCTCCTGTAAAATATCTCTAGAGGGAATGGAGAGAAAAAATCTGTAGATTAAATAACTAAATCAATGTTACTCACAATATTGTTCCAGAGTGATCCTCTTTTACTCTGATGATCAGGAGTCAATCTTATGTAATCGTTAGAGACAAATGTATTTCCACCCAGATCCCAGTCTGGAATGGTCATACCAGCACCTGCAAGACGTAAAAGAACAGTGCATCAAATATAATGAAGTGTCTAGGCTTGTGATTTTGTCCCATGTACACTAGAATCATGGCATGGAGAGTTTTAATTTTTATAGAAAATATTTTTTAGAATGATTTGAATTTTATAAAATAAGATAAAACCTTAATTTTTCTATATGAAAAACTAACAAATTACAATTTTAAAATGTGAACAGCCTCTTTATATTAGTTAATAATAAAATTACATGAAATTTTAAAGTTCATTAAGAGTATCTATTTACGTGTATCTACTAGTAATGATAATATCCGTATTGTTCACCATTCATAAATTAAGCAAACGGATTTAAAAAAACCTAGAATTTACAAGCTTGTAGTAAATGTTTGGAAGATGACTTGAAAGAAAATGAATSGCTGAAAAACGAGAAAAAACTCCAAAATAGAAGTGACCCATAACGCCACCAGCTTCACAACGTTTTCTTTCTGCACGGAATTATTCTTTTCATCACAAATAAAGGAGTTGAAATATTGATAATGATATTATAGAAAGAATTTAATGTTAATGAAAGTATAGGTTTATATATTTAAGGAGTCAATAATGAATGTCGTTTGTTTAACTTGGGTTTTATCGTCGAAGGGGGTATCCGCGCTTTAAGCATAAAAATTTATTAATATAAAGCTAGCGAAAAATAGATTAATATTTCTAGACAAAACTACCGATAAATAGAAGCTGTAGAAGCTATTATGTGAGAAATCAGAAGGCGGTAAACATTAATAGAGTGCAAATAACATCGTGCAAGTTCATCATCATCGTAGTAAAATCATTGCATATGATCACAACAACAGGAAGTCAGAATTTTTTGGACTTTTCGCCGTCTTACCTTGATATGGTTTCATTAAAGAGTGCTCTCTTTTAAGATAGCTTCCCTGAGCTTCAGGATCGGCTAATAATTCTGTACATAGGAGGAGAAAACTTGTAAAAATAAGATAGATTTGATTCAACGTGCATTGCGCCATTTTGGAAACTCGGAAGTGAACGTGCAATCAAGTACATTGCCTCACTATGGAGAACTAAAAAAGATAGTCAGGGGAGGGGAGGGTAGAGTAAATATTTTTTTCTCTACTTTGTTCTTATATTTTATCTCCCTTCGACCTCCCTGATATATGTTTTGTTTGCCAAAGTATGGAGTTGTCTGAAAGTTTAGACGAATGTCCTTGATTCTGTAACAAAAATAAGCAAAAATAACAAAAGTTTAGTAGGAATTAACTTTTAAAAATGACCATCCATTTGGCCAATTTTAAACTTTCATTGAGCTTTCTTGTACTACATTTTTCTTTGTTGAGCTTATAGTTGTTTTGCCAAAACTATAGATCTTGTTTCTCAAATCTAATTTTGAAAAAAAAAAAATTTATGATTTTCAGATTAAAAATTGGATTTAATAGGAACAAAACGTTACTCATCCTCCCCTCCCTGGTAATGTTTTAGTTGGTTTGCGTCGAAGTGAAGGACTGTGGGTCAAGGCAGAAAACAAGATGGCGGACGTAAGAGTATCAAAAGAAGAACCACAGAAAAAAACCCGATTAGACTGGAGAAAAGAGAAAGAATTAGAAGAAGCAAGAAAAGCTGGTACTGCTCCTGCTCTCCAGGATGAAGAAGGAAGGTAAAAAACGTTTATAGACACCGTTATCTACAAATATCGTGGAAAAAGTTTCGTGTTCTTGACGTGACGTTGTTTGAACGACAAACTTTCTTTACAATTAAACTTTCGTAAATAATCTAAGGTTAAAACATTTTTCTTTAAAGGTTTTTAATAGTGAATGATGAATCCTTTCTGGAGATAATGAATGGCTTAGTTTGGTGATACAATGTAGAGTTTTTAGTAAAAAGCTGACATTCAGCTGATACGATTTTCTCCTGAGAATCGTAAATTTTAGCTTACACATCCACTTTGTAAAGAATGTGTATACTGATTATTCTGGTATTTTTACTAGGGATATCAACCCTCATATTCCTCAGTACATATCGAGTACTCCATGGTATTATGGAACCACAGGGTAAGTAGTTGATGCTTTCTTTTCATGATTGTTCACAATTTTACTGTTTTGATTGTAATTTTTGAACATTCTGACATTTTTGTGATAACTCCAGGCCTACCCTGAAGCATCAGCGTCCACAAGCAGAGAAGCAGAAGACATATGATGACATTAGCCAGTGGTACAAGAGAGGTGTTAACGATGTAAGCCATTGTGTGTGGTATAGTTATACTGACAGTATATAACTGTATTGCATAATTAATATATTGCATATTGTACCATTCATTATGAAGTTCTAGGGATGATGAAGGGAGGGGGGAGCTATTATTGGGCTATTACGTGGGTAGGAATTTTGACATTGCTTATGATGTTGACACTGAAATGTATGCTAAGCCCTTATTCAGGTACATTACTGACATCCACCTCCTCCTGGTCGGCTTGGTTGACCATCAATCTGTTGTGCGGGAGGTCGTGGGATTAAGCCTAACACACAAAGCCTTAAAATGGTGCTGCCTTTGCTCTAAAAATATCTGCAAATTGTAAGACCTTGGCCTTGGCTCGGATGACCACGTAAAAGGGGGTCTCGTCTTACTTAGAGACATTAAACATAGAGGGCCACACATCTATCTGCTGAGTTGGCAACTGTCACGTGTCACCCTCTCTAAGACAAAGACATTATTATTATTGAATCCAGTTCATTACTGTTTATTACAGGTGCAAGCACCACTGAAATTTAAGAAAGGAGCATGTACTAACTGCGGTGCCATGACGCACAAGAAAAAGGACTGTGTAGAGGTAACTCATCATTTTTTCTGCATTCATGGTTCCGACTCACCTTAGTAACCATTGCTATTTCCCCCAAGCTCCATAAATTAGATAAAATATCTCAGAATTCTAAACTCTGATCATGGAAAATTGATCTTAAATTGTTTTGATCTTTAACTGTCCAGTGAAAAAAAAAAATTGTTTTGTGCATAATCCTTGTAGTACTCTTTAAAACAGACATGGTGGGGTTACATTTTACTTGTTTATTTGGTAATAATAATATTCGGTTTATTTGTGACAATTGTAATATTATGTTTGGTAATCTCCAGAGACCACGAAGAGTTGGTGCTAAATACACAGGGGAAAACTTGAGACCGGATGAATTTTATCAGAAAGATTTAAATCTGGATTATGATGGAAAGAGAGACAGGTGCGTATTTGATGCCAGCGAAAAAGAATAAATGTTTTCAGAGATTTCGTTGATGATGTGTAATATTATAATTAATGTTATAACAGTGGACATGTTATGCTGCCATGGACTGCAGCAATATTATTGCTTAATATGTGGTTTTCAATATATATATCCATCTACCTTGTTTAAATTTTCCATTCATTCTTCCATTCATTAGTTTATCCAGTCATCAATTCCATCCCATCCTTGCATCTATTAATCTTGTCACCAGCAGCCAATTCATCCACTTCATTCATAATCTTTCCAGCCTTTCTTCTATTTCATTAGTCTCTCAATACTCTAGTTTCAAGTTGTCTGTTGCTCGGGGTTAGCCTCGATTTTGAGTAGAATATTCATGTGTTCCTGTGAAGGTCTGTGGAATTTCAAAGAGTTTGTATTGTTGAAGTTGTGCATTCTTTACGTTACCTTGGCATTTGTGAATATTTAGACACAGATTGGAGGCTAAGCCTGAGTAAATGAGTCTGTAATCAAGGAACACAGCGGTAATTGGGAACTCGAAAATGGTCTATTCATTTATCCCAACTTATCCTTCAATCCATTATTCTATGTAGTTACTAATTCCATTCATTTCTCAATCCATCCATCCATTCCTTTTCTGTTGCATCCTTTCTTCTATTTATCAGTCTATTAATTCATCCATGCATTGGTCAACCAATTCATTTGCATTTTTTTTGGAGTTTTTCGATTTCGATTTCAATTTCATTTCATTCTTTGTTTAGATGGAATGGCTATGATGTTGATGAACACAAAAAAATCGCAAAAGAATACGAAAAAATAGAATTGGTAAGAGAAGTAGGATAAAGCGTGAACCTGATCCTGATGGCAAAAATTGTTGACAGTCTTATACTTTCTTTTTAGTTTAGAAGATTTCTTAAAAGCCAACTAAAGATAAATGATTGATAAAGATTGTTATTAATTTTTAGGCCAAGCAACACTTGAAGGGGCAAAAACTAGAAGAAGATCTTGCTCAAGGGCTGCCATATGAAAAGGTATCTTCTTAGTTGTTATCCACACTATCCATGCAGTGCTGCCATTGTGGTATGTGTGCAGTAAAGATAAAATGTAGAATGTACTAATGGTAGAGTGTGTGGAGCGAACCTCACAAAAGAGCCTTGTACAGGAAGTGATGGTTGTAAAATTTGCTTTTTTTCTTGTCATAATATAGGAGGGTGACAGTGATGAGGATGAAGATAAATATGCCGACAAAGCTGACATGCCTGGTCAAAAGTTTGACACTAAGAGGTAAGTACTGCACAACAGATTTCCTACCTTCTCACATATTCTATTTTCTTGTATCATAAGTGTGTTACCTGGTTGATGATTCTTGATCAATGGCTGGACATGATGACTGGCTAAATTTGCTGATTTCAGCTTATGGTCAGTCATCCTCAGGAATCCTAGGAGTAAAATACTGTCACTTGTTTCTAGCTATCTGGAAGTGAGAAATGAGCAATAGAATGTTAACCCTTGGTTCCTGAGGATATTGGTCAGCATTGTGACTAGTCAACTGGTGAAGAGGACCCGCCTAAGACAACAATTTTGGACAGACATTCTGTTGATTGGTGGCCAGTTATTTTGAGCATTTGATTAAGGAACTAAATTCATATGAACTTGTATCTACTGTATTTACTGTAAATGTTTTGCATTAACCATGATTCATTTACAGACGAACAACAGTACGAAATCTCAGGATTCGTGAGGATACGGCAAAGGTATGGTCTGAGTATGATCTAAGTATTCCTCACTCATGTCTAGACAAACCTCATGAATATTATTGTTTTTTTTATTTCCAGTATCTGTACAATCTTGATCCTAATTCTGCCTACTATGATCCTAAAACACGATCCATGAGGGAGAATCCTTTTAAGGAAAAAGATCAAGCAAAACAGTAAGTTAGCAAAAAGTCTGAGAAGGTGTATTATGTATGGTTTCATAAAATATCCATACCCCCTCCCCCCCCTCCCCCCATGGAGGGAGAAGTGGAATTTCCAAGGGGTGGGAGGGTCTCAGGAGAAAAGTGGAAATAGGAAAATCATGTGATTGTCTTTTCTTTTTACATTTCTTATACAGAGTCACATATTCGGGAGACAATTTTGTTCGTTATAGTGGAGATACTTCAAAAATGGCTCAAACACAGTGTGAGTATCTAACAGACTTATCTCTGACATTTATACTTCTTCCATTTCTTTCAAGTCAACTTTATTCAGTTCAGATTTAGGAAGGTTTAGGGGCACAGGATGATACGGACCAGCAGACGACCTTGAAGCAACCAGGATAGAACCAAATCAGGATGATGGTGATGAAAAGCAAGGACTGTGCTTTTACCTCTTTAATGTTCATGCTTCTCACCATTAAACATCAGTATCGTAGTGGAATAAAGGGATACCCTCTCACTTTCCATGCCATAAAAAGATCCACAGATAAAGGGTTCCATAGAACATTTAATCATTTCATATTTGAATGGTTTTTAGTGTTTGCTTGGGAGGCATATGAAAAAGGAGCTGACGTTCACCTTCAAGTTGATCCAACCAAGCTGGAACTCTTACACAAAGAGTACAAAGTTAAGAAGGGATCCTTTGAGAAAGACAAAAAGCAAACCGTTTTGGAAAAGGTACATATTGATTATGGGTCGAGGGCGCACCTTTGAGCACATTAAACATGAGCCCTTGGCTCGGGAGAATTGGGCAACCACTACCCGCGTTATTGAGGTAAATTAAACTACCTTTAAACCTTTTTTTTCCCTAATCCATCAAGGTATAATAGTTTTCCAATTCAGACCATGTGTCATTCTTTTGTGAACATAATTCTTTGTTTGGAGGTATCTGTATTCATTTGTCTTTTGATGTGTAACCATTAAACAAAGAAATATACTCTGGGGAATGATTCTTGGTCTGAAATGGGTGAACTTACAGTGGATTAGGTCTATTTAGTCTACGGCGAACTACTTTGTCATACCAGTCTCTTGAGAAAAGGGGGTGGCCTCTATCAAGTGGTAAAGTCTTATATTATATAAGTGTAGATGTTGATTTCCGTTGCTATGGTGATTGATGATAATGATTACTAAAATGATGATGGTGATTGAGATGAGATGATGGTTAATAAGTGTGATGGTTGATGACAATGACTAGCTGATAATGATTAACAATTATAACAATAGAAAATTGATGAGTATTGACTGATGGTTTTTGACTGCAGATACAGTAGATTGTGATTATTATTATTATTGATAATTTATGATGATGGTGAATAATATCAAAACTTGTTGATTATGTTACATGTGTTGAATAAGTATCTGGTAATATGTTCTTGCAATAATGCATGCCAATATTATTTTCTTTAGTATGGTGGAGAGAAACACCTCGAAGCACCTCCCAAGGAACTGCTACTAGCCCAGACAGTGAGTATATCATCTTTCAGAGCAAAATTCTCCAGCTTAAACTACCATGATCTTGAGATGTTTTCCTGCTTGGATCTCAGAATTTTTCCCCAAGAAAAATAATAATGCTGGAAGAAACATAATTGACATATTCTTTAATATCATAATTATCTCCTATTTCAAAACTATAAACTCTACATTTAAAATTTTGTTTGACTATGTTTAATTTTTTTAGGAAAACTATGTAGAATATTCAAGGACAGGCAAGATAGTCAAAGGTAGGTTGACTTGAAATATTGTTGTTATCTTGCTGTTGCTTTTCGCTTCTTTTTTTTCTTGATAATTTGTCAATGCGAGACTCAGAAACTTGCATATTTATTAGCAGCATCAAAATATTAATTTATTTTGAACAAAAATTAAGACAAAACTTTTTTTCATATCCAGGTCAAGAAAAGGGTGTTGCAAAATCCAAGTATGAAGAAGATGTATATCCCAATAACCACAAGGTATAAATCACTTGTCTATTAAGGACATAGTGTGCCGCACACCACAGCAAAGCACAACACAGCACAGCACAGACGCGATCAATCAAGATTTAGTACCCGGGGGGGGGGAGGTAATCCCATATATGGACTATACGGGGATGATCCACTTAACAGGGTATGGTTTTTCGAGCTTCTTATCATAAACAGGGTATGCAATTTCACTCAAGTTCCAAGTTCTTCCCGAGTTTCCTGTCATATTCAGGGATTCTGCTTTCGTATTGACCAAAACTGGTTATTATGGTCGTAAAAAAACGATATGCAAGATGACATGAATTGAAACAGGAACTCAGTGCAATAAATTATATCTTTTATCATAAACAGGGTCCACAAATTTGAGGTTTTTTATCATAAACAGGGTACCCCTTTCAGAATCCCAGCGGAACACCCCTATTCAAATTCTGGTGGAGTAATCCCCCCCGGGATTTAGTAGCAGCAGATCCAGAATGATTTTAAAGGGGGGTGGCTATTACCTAAAAAGACATCATATCTAGTGAGTCCTTTAAAGCTTTTACCTCGTGATTTTTTTCTCAACTCCAAAAAAAAGGGGGGTGGGGGTGGCTTACCAGCCTATCCACAGTACTTACACAAGTGAAGTGAGCCATAGAAAAAAAAGGTTCTGGGAAGGTGAATGATTGCATACATCATTGAACCTACTAAGGTTCAAAGGGTTTTGAACACTTTCCTCCTTTAGAAAAAACTAACAAGCTAAATAATTTGCAAGCTTCAATCTTTGAATTAGCAATGTTCTAACACAGATCAGCCCATAGGTTGTCTCAGTGTATTGATAAAATTTGAAAGTTCTGACTCTTGATTCATCCCTATGGAATAATATTAATTACTAATGGATGATTTATTATGACATTAGAGTGTCTGGGGATCCTACTGGTCTGAAGGTAACTGGGGTTTTGCATGCTGCCATTCACTCGTCAAGAATTCTTACTGTACTGGAGAAGCAGGGAAGGCATCGTATGGCAAGGTATATTGAACAAAGAACTGTACTTCAGTTCAGCAATAGAGGCTTTACAAGGTCATATGATGGCAGCCATGACAGATGGCGCAACAATAGTCTTTCCCCCCCTGAGAAACTGAGTTCTTTCTCCTGTTAATCAGATTACCAAATTCAATTGTTCCGGCATCCTGTCATGGCTGCCATCATCGTGATGTTGATTCACATGAACCAAACCTAATGATAAATAAGACTGCTTTATTATTCATTGTTTTCAATGCGTACAGTTCATGTGAAGCTTGACTTCTGATCTGAGCTTAATCAGTGCTCTCATGCATTCCACTGTTTGATTCTCATCTCTCCTCTCTTTGCTAGTACTGTGCTGTAGTTTTTCCATTATTAATGGCATTTTCTGTTTTATCCTCTGTCCTGGCCCATGGTCACTCAATCATTCTTCTGTTAAAAATATCATTCATAAATACACCTGTTGTTATTTTCAGCAAATTTTAACGCCAATGACGGATGCATCAAAGGCTATCCAGAATGCAGAAGAAAGTGGGAAAAGCTTACTAGAGGTAAGGACAAAAAGACAACAAAATTGATGTTAAAATATCTAGCAATCATTTGCCGAAGGCGAAGTGAATATCAATGAAATATTTACCAAGACACAAGTCTTCAAACGTTGAGGAAAATATTCCAGCAATATTCACAATGTCTGCAAGCGGCACAAATTGAAAAACAAGTGAGCACATGTGTGCTATATTGTATTTTCACCTGTAAGTGAATATAGCAGCATGTATGTGAAAATAGGAGCATAAGATGTAAATTGTGACCAATAAGCATGCCAGATTTATTATATTCCCTTGTGTAAAGATACTAATCTTATATATTAACCAATAGATACACCAGGAAAATAAGAAAAAGGAGAAGAAAAAGACTAGAAAATCAGAAGACGGTGAAGATGATGACGAAACTAAGAAAAAGAAACTGAGAAAGGTGATTATATTAAAATTCCTCTAAAGTAAACGTAGAACAATAGAGAGTTTTAGAACCTCAGTTGTGGCAAATGTGAAATGTCAGTTGACCAATGAAAATGTTTTTGAATTTGTGAAATAGAATTGCAAATATTTCCAAGTAGTTGATGAACRAAAGGGAATATTATTTTATGTTTGGTTAGAAAGTAAAGTGACATACCGGAAAATGATGAAAATGTGGTCGTGCTTGATGTTTGCAAAAAACTTCAATTTAAAACTTTCTAATAACATTTTTGATAAACTTTGGAGGTTTTTTGTCTGAATTGGAAATTACTTAACTCAATTAACTGCCTTATAACACTAATTTAACAAACTAATTTAATTCAGGGTACTGACAATGTTTTTCAATGTTCTCATGTAATGCAAAAGACAGTACAGACTGTACATTATATTACGCCCCCAAACTTCCTGTCCTTTATTACTACCATAAGATTTCTTCTCTTTGTTAAACCAAAATAAACCAAAAAAGTCTTTATTAGATGTCAGACTTCCGAAATAGCATGGGGGAGTTTTTCATTATTATTTTACCAAGAAAGCTTGAAATTTCCCTTGAGATTTGATCCCTTCCCTTAATTTCGTAAGAAATATTCATAGTATTCTGTCGCTCCTACTGTTATGTAAACTTCATTAATACAGGGGGGCAATTTCAGCAACTTTGCTTGTATCCAAAAGGGCTCTGCATGACCACTTAACTTGTATTACTGTATAATCTTGACAGACCATCTGATTTTTGTTACTAGTATAAAGTAAATTTCAAAATATTTGTTTTAATAAATTGTGTTGATCTTAGGCTTTGATAGAGGAAGAAAAACAGCAACTAGCAGCAGAGCGCCTGCTTCTCATGGATGAGCGCAAGAGACCATACAACTCAATGCGAGCCTCAGACACCAAGGAAGTCACAGAAGAGGAACTAGAAGCTTACAGGATTAAACGACGACAGGAAGACGATCCCATGAAAGACTTCCTTTAGCAAACTAAATTATAGTTTTTAATATCAACATGTATACTGTCCGTAATAACAGTAAAGTCGGCCCATACTTAAGGTACAACTGATGGGCAGAGTTAACATCAGACCTTCTCTCAAAAAGAATTGAACAGTAGATGCAAAGCTTTTAAAGAAGTGGTAAGGTAGGATTTGGAAATTACAGAAAATGGGTCAGCTACGTGTACATAGGAATAGGCTGATTTCAGTGATGAGGATAAATCAGTGGAAGTTTTCGTTAAATGATGTTAATGCCAGACCGCGAGACACGGGGGAAGGATTTTGAAGTTGAAAGAAAAAATCATTCTATGGTATAGATAAAAATTGCACTGAATTATATATTAGCCTTCCTTGTTACAACAAGATGAAAATCGCAACAGTGCTGCAAATATGTTAACTTTAATATGTAAATAAGCATGACAGGATTTAAAAATACGCAAACATAAGTAGTTTTAACTCGCTACTATTTTCGTAAACATGCAAACTCGCTAGCCACAAGTTAATCAGTCTATACAGTCTGTTCAATCGTAACCTTTCTTAGTTTTTACTGGCGGAAGCGAAAAACCAAATTTCATCATGCAGCGCGCAGCTACAAAGTTCACGTTTATGAAAGTAAAAGTAGTAAAAGTTCTAAGACATTCATAATTATTTCCACGTTTGGGACCCTCACACAGGAAGTTTCACAAAGAAGGTAAGAAGGTAGTAACCTCTTCAATCCCTCTATGCTTCCTATTAAGGAGAGAGAGGGTGTGTTGAACTAAATCTAACTTGCTAGAACTTAAATATTTGACTGCATCTTCAACCTTAATAGATTTATATAAGATCCTAGCTTTCAAACTAACTAGGCCATCTTCAGGAATAATAAGAACTTTTCTGACTTTTACCTAATCTTAATATTATAAACAGCTTTTTTTGTAGATATTGAAATCCAAACCCTAACAATGCTATTTGTATGCAAAAGACTTTGTTGTTTTATTACAATTACAGAAGAATGATATAATTATAGGGCTTAAAATAATGCCTATCTGTTGTCGGTCATGATCACAGGGCAAATTAGTTTTAGTTATGTCATAACTATTTCTGACTAAACGTCACTGGTCGAAATAACTGACAAGATAAAGATTTGACTGGACAAGTCCTGGTTCTGATTGGACATGCATTGTGATGTATCTTAAGCCCTGTATTAATATATAAATCTCTTTTGGTATTTCCCCAGGAAGGGAATTTGAAGGATAATTAAGAAGCTTAAACTGGAGCACAATTTTCCTCTCTGTTAGAGCACAAACACTAAAAATGTGCAACATAAATATCACTAAATAGTGTTATTTATGCTAATTATATTGTTTTCTTTTGTCTAATTAGTGTTATTTACTGCTAAATAGTGATAACTATTGCACACATTTAGTGTTTTAGTGCTTTCTACTTTGATTGTAGGTTGGGAAAAAACCTCAGACTATTTGAGGATAGATTTCCCCACCCTATCCAGACAGAATCACCCTAAGGCTGGAAATGCCCTCTAAAGGAAAAAGATGATGATGTCTGGCACTACTCCTATATTGATAGTCTTCCTTTTATCCTCATAATTATCTTCACTATTATGCTAAACTTATTTTATCTACTGAATGAACAGCCAGCAAAACTGTTGTCAGTGAAGATGTTTTTACCAACTCATTTTCAAGAACTATTTCTTGATATGTTTTAGTGTAAAATGATTGAAAGATTTTGATTTCAGACAGAAATAACTTTTACTTAAAATATATTAATTTTGTAATGCAAATTCATTTTTAGGCTAGATGATAATTAATCTCATGGGCTTCATAAATAATTTTTAAAATTTGTTAGGGTTGCAGTATTGATCTTTTTTGCTTTCTATTTTATATATTTTACTTTTCAATTGCAAGGTAAGTCTTTATGCTGTGTTTTTTTGGGAATGAAATAGGGGTTTTTAGTATGGGCTTGGCAAAGTATGGCATTGTTGAAATCATTCAACTCCCAACCATATAGAATTGTCTTTGGCAAGGCAATGCCACACCCATATCGCTGGCTTAATTATTTGTTTTATTGTATTCCAACCAGCTCTGTAATCGGAGGAGCCTGAACCATCAATTCTTCATATTGATTAAAAAACATTTTCAGCCTGCTTTGATATGTATCCTCGTTATATGGCAAGCCATGACTCTTCAAGTATTGAGATACCAATGGCTTAACCTTGAGGCACATGTTGTCAGAGAGCCGTGGGAAGAGATGATGTTCGACATGACAGCTGACGATGCTATGCCCAAAGTTATAGTCCAGAAAGGGGTTGCGTGGAAGGTTGAGCACTGACGTTGCCATCTGAAGCAGCCGATTTGATGGTTTCTTGTTGGGGTCGTACATGGGTAGGCCAATGTGTTGGAAGACGTTGACATGAATGTATGGTATAGCATAGACAGATCTCACAAAGATGACGCAAAGTAGAGCTGCTCCAAAGGAAAGTCCTGACAGGTTAAGGAACAGCCATAGTTGAAGGCAATAACCCATCATACTTAAGAAGAAGACCCTAGCAATATCTAGCCATCTTTTCCCCAGCAAGTCGATGGTGACCAACGGATAGATTAAAGGGAGCAAGATGGGTGCGAAGAATAAATATGTGTATCGATCAAGAACAGGAACCTTCCAGGAGCTGGAATCACCAAGGCTGATGACATTGGTGTATGGATGGTGATATTTGATGTGAGTTTCTTGAGCACCCCTTTCTGTAAGTCCACCCCAAAACTCAATACAGAACACGCTAATAATCTTGTTCCAGAATGGTGAGGATCCCATAAATGCATTATGAACTGCTGCGTGTGCAACCTTGACAGTAAGGAGAGAATGGATGTATCCAATTATGAAGAAACCTATGATGAAAAGAAGGGTGCTTCCTTGACCAAGCAAGAGGTATCCAAAGGGAAGAACAGCGATAGCAGCTCCTGTAATTGCAATATCAAATCCATAAAGCTCCCACCAAGAGCTTTTTTCAATTTCTTTTTTGACAAGTGTATTAAGATGTGCTAACGATGGAATCTTCAGTCTGCTGCTGTCTTGGGAGTTGTGAAGAGTAGAATCCTCAGGGCCAGTATTCTCGCTGCATTTTCTCTTGCTTGGTTGTTGCATTATGGAGAAACACTAGTCCCTTGAGCAAGCCTTGTAGCAAAGGAGACAAAATATCAGGTTAGTTTGAGAGTACGTATCTTAATTATTGATCATTTTAACAGGTGTCTTGGTTGTGATAACCTCTTTGAATGATTTTTTCCACTTCCAAAATCCTTTGCAAATTTCTTTCTTATTCAAATTTGTATTTCCTTGTGAGAATAGTAAGACAATATCGGTGTTAATTAACTGAACAAAAGAAAGTGTGCAAGGGATTCTGGTAGTTGTAGTTAATGACACTATAATATAAATGTCATCATCAATTGACATTGTTAGTTATAAACATTGGGTATAAAAATAAGACGGGTCTAAAGATAAATATTTTACATAACAATTGCAAATTCATTATGGCTAAGATTTCTTCATGAATTCCTAAAACTATACAATATGTCTAAAACCATTTCCCCGACTACCTAACATTGTCAGTAGCACTTAAAAAAATGACATTTATTTAAAAAATTTTGGTATACGAGCGTAGCCGAGATTACCCTGCGGGGTAAGCCGAGATGGGGCGAGTTGAAATATCTCGGACCAGAAATATAGATGTACCTAGATGGATTGAGTTAATATGGATAATTTGAAAATCAAAAAGTATATTTCAAGATAACGATAAATTTTACAGAAATCAAATGAAGAAAAGTTATAAACTGATAAAACTTACACAAGAAATACCGGTATATTTTTTTGAAAAGTATTGGACATTTTCGCGAATGAGAAAGTGAACAAAATTTTAGCCCGATCGGGTTATAAAGCAAAAATAAACAATGTACAAAACTTAAACTAAAAAAACCCAGTGGGTTTAGTGATGCATTGCTTTAATTTTTACTTACCACTGAGATTATCCTGCTATTTTCACTGAAAACTGCCCAGGAAATTTTACTGTACGTTTGTTTACATAAGAGGGTAAAGTCCAAATGACACCACCAAACCACGATACTTTTACGATGGACTTACGACAACAGCACGAGAATTCTTAATGAGAACCGAAAATTTCCGATAACTTCTGGGATAACACAGGGACCCCCTTCCCCTCCAAAAAAACAAAAAAACTTCTTAAGATAAAATATTTTATTTCCATTATAAAATTTGGAAAATATGGAAAATCGTTAATGATAGAAAGGAAAAAATCTTCATCTCAAAGAACAGTGAGCATTGACCTCCACAAGAGGGTTGAATGTGCAAAAAATGATTGGATGGGATAGTAGAAGAGAAAAGCTTGGATCTGATCGTTATTTCCCATTTCAGTTCTCAAGCCATTCTCTTTATCATTTTTGTTAGTGTCATTTTCAATAATGCATTGCATCAGTTGTAAACAAAAGAAATAATACTCAAAGGTATGCGTTCTGAAATGCAAAAACACCGATAAGGTTACGTTTAGGAGTTTTAAACATTTTTTCTGCTCTCTGTTTATAATAACCATGCAGCTTAACAAAAAATGTGCACTACTGAAGAGCACAAGAGAATATGAATGCCCTATAAGTTTGCATTGGATGGAAATTTTATGAAATAATTAAAGTTTTAGTAAAATACCACCACTAAAACATGGAAGAATATATAGCAAGCTAAACTTGAGTAAAATATTGACATGTATAATATGTTCTAAAGCATTTATCTAATAATATTCTGCTAACTTTCCCTAGACAGCAACTTAGGGTTATCTTCCCTTTGAATAGCCTGGAAATAATTCATTGAGAATATTTTCTAGATTGGTGTTAATAGTCTGTTGATAATTCTTTCCTAAGTCTGTTCTACAGGTTGGACATGTGTATATTCCAGCCTTGAATGATCGCTGTAGGCATCCCTGGAACAGTAACAAAAGACATTTTTGAATTAATACAAATTAATATTAGTTACGTCTGTAGTTCCCAAACTGGTATAATTTTACATGGCCCTTGAAAAAATAAGGGCCAAGTTAAATCACTCTATCACTTTGCAACTCTCTTGCAGTGATAAGTATTGGTTCTTTGCTTCCTAGCTGTCTCCATGAAATGCCAGCTAGAATTTGCAGCTATTGAACAGCTATTGGTGACAAAGGGGTGGATTGGGTGGCTATACTAGACAACCCCCTAAAATAACTGGGTAGTGCCTTTCTGGGTAACAGCCACCCCCTGAAATTGTTTCATGGATCTGCCATTGGGTGACTTACTTTACAAATATTGTGCAGACAGGTTGTTGTTAGTGGTTTAAAGACAAGATCTTGACAGCAGATACAACAAAATTGCTCTTCAATCTTCTGAAGGAATTTCTGTGGAGACAAGCACCCATTGAGGTAAGTCAAAAGGTTTCAGTCAAAAAGACATTTAATTAAAGATTATTATATCAATATAAGGATTTTGTAGCAGGCATTTTTCTCGTTTGGGATATGAAATCGTGTCACACAAAACAATGCATTATTCTTGCCCTACTACAAAACATAAAGCTTGTATCTATCTTGAGTCAAAAAAAAAAAAACAAAACAAAACCAGAAAGTACTCCTCTACTACGTAGTCTAGCTTTATATTCCATACAGCTGGCTTCTGTTCACTGTCTTTGATACAATATGGTTTATCTCAGTAGCCTGTGTGGACTGGTTGTCCAGTACTGTAAGAGAACAGGATAACTCTATCCTGCTCCCCCTCACCCCATTGCCATGTCCCACCCCCGGGCTAAGAAAGCAGACTATTTGGTTTTTACCGTCAAATGTTTACCTGGTGATCCAAAGTTTTATCACTGATTATTTCAGTCCATAGTTTTACATTCTCTGTATCTGTATTAATTAGTTTTTTGATTTCCTCTGATATCGAATGAACTTTCTTCTTTTTGTTGGGTGACTTTGTTGGGCTTGATTTAGTTTCTGTAGGGAAGATGTACAAAAAAATATTTTTGAGAACTCTACAAATCTTGCATTATTTGCTTGGGGGCACATGCCCTATGAGAACACACAGCACGTTTGTGAAATTTCTGTTTGCTCATTAATATCTGACTAATATCCAATGACCATTGTAAATTGTATCAGTATGTGCTGTGTGCAGGCATAATGCATTTTTCATGTTCTGTTGACCCCTGTGCGCTTCATAACAGTGCATAGCATGAACACACATTTTCCATTTTGTTGGAAGGAACAAAATTAAATATAAAATTATGGGGAGTTGAACTTTAGGGATGCATTGAAGGTGCTTTTGAAAGCTAGTCTGAAATGAAACGTTTTCTCTTTTTATCAATATATTTTACCTTCTTCTCTTTTTCTTTTTCCTTTCCCTTTCATCTTGTCAGCCTTTTCCTCTTCCTTCTTTGCTTGAGCTTCTAAGAACCCTTCAGGATACTGAAAAGTAAAAAAAATACCCTGAAACAACCTCTGGGCTGATCAAAGTTGAGGGATGGCTAACTCACAAATCCAGCATGTAAGGTATATAGGCCCATGTGATTAAGGTCTGGATACACAATGCCATGTAACCTGAGACCTTGCCTGGCGACATCGCAGAAGTAGAAAAAAGTTCCGTACTTTAGACTGTTAACAAGGGTGCACACACAGTGTGATTTCCTCACTGCAAGCAACATCGCTGGCAATTGTGTATCTGAGCCTTTATCTTCATGATGCTTTTGAAAAACCTACCACCATCTTCAGCCCAAGTGATTTAGTGATTTCTTTTCCTTCCTTTGTCCATGGTGCAGGAGACTGTTAACATCAAAGTGATCAGTATTTAGGAATCTATTTTGGTGGTAGTCCTGTGGTACCCAGTTGTTTGAGCATGTGCAATAGAATATCTCAACTAGTTTTGTGTTTTACCAACCACTTGCCAGGACCACAGAAAAGGGGGCCCTTCATGTTTGCCATTTTGAAATAAAGAGGGAGAGAGTAAGGGGATTCATTCACACCTTTGAACAACCCCTAGAAATGAGCCTGTCATACCTTATAGTGTTAGTGTAAAGCTTTAAATATACTGAACAGATCTGCTAACAAGTGACAAGCCATTCATATTTCAATTCAAAATCAACCTTACCTCATCATCACGCTTGAACAAGTATCTCCAAACAATGAACCCAGACTTCCCCTTCTCAGGCCAGTACTTTGCGACCTTCAAAAAGTGATGAAAAAACATGACATTTGAAATTAATTTATTGATTTACTTATGTATCTTGTTTGACCAAAGAACCATCCTTTTAAGAAAAGCTGTATTATTCCCCTCTAGGTTTGTTCTGCCATGTAACATGTGTTATTACCTTGTATATACCATCATATCTGTTTCCTTCTCCAGGAGCATATTTGGAAAATTTTGCCAGCTTACTGCTTCTTACCTGGAGCATAACAGAGGAGTTGGGAAGGTATTGACAGCTGTATCATGATTATTGTCATCTTCATCACATTATCATCAGCATTGTTATCACCATCATCACCACCATCATCACCACATCATCATGATCACCTCATCATTATCATTGGCATCATTATAATCACCACTACCATCATTATAGTAATCAGCATCATCACCACATGTGCATCACATCCTCATCATTGCCATCATCATCATTACAACCATCACCATCATTATCATCACCACCATTAACATCGTAATCAACATCAATGTCATCTTCAATAATATTGTTGTCAGCATGACACCATCATCATGTCATCACCATCAATATCATCWCCATTATCATTACCACCAACCACCATCATCACAATTATCACTAGCACCATCATCACAGGAATCATCATGTCATCTGCTATTATATCAGCATCATGTCATCAACAATCACCATTAATATCAACAACACAACATGATCAGTATTACTTGTCATCTCACATAATTAAAAGAAGCAGTGTGAACATCATCATCATCAACATTGTACAAACAGCATGAGCAACTCTATTGACAATGTATGTTCCAAATGATGAATTTATGCCATGATGTACTCACCACTCTTACTGGTTTCCCTTCCTTCCAGTTCTTCGCCTCTCCCCCTTTCTTATCATCTAAAGGAGCTGCACAATTTCTGGCAAGTGCTCTGTGGTTTGCAATAACAAAAGCACTGGTGACTAAAACCTATTCAGATGTTTATCAGCCCTGT